GGGGGGGGGAGAGCTGTTTAAATACACAGCTGAGAGCTGCCGTTTCATTCAGACTGTTTAAAAAAACGTTAACAACGGACTATTTTTCTTAGTGGATGCATGTCAATTTAAATCAATTACATACAACTATTTTTTAAATCATAAAAACATTTTCTAAATCCATAAAAGCATTTCAATTAATATTGGGAGTCATGTCGTTACTTTGTTGAGAATGTGGCCATTTAATAAGCGGGATAATTTGCAGCGACTTGTTCCTGATGGGGAAAATAACACCCTTCAGCTGATCACGCGTCGGGATCTATGGTCGGGATCCTGATCTGCCGACGAGGCTCCATTAAAATATAAATATTTTTAGTGAATTACTGAATTTAGGCACGTTAATAACGTTTTAATGAAGTTGAATACAGTATATTCATATTTGTCAGTGATTTCATGTCAATTTGGCGAACATAAACATAAATGATCGTGGTGAAGATGATGATTAAATTAGGATTAAAAATCGAGAGCCGGTCTGCATTTCCTCCCGTTCGTTTTTTCGACTAAACAACATTATTTTGTTAAATAACAACATGGTGATGTTTTGTAAATGATTACATGTCTCTTATTTAGCACAGAGTATGGTATCCGTGACATATGGATCTTAACAAAGTTCCGCTGTACATCCAGCGTACTGTATCTGACTTTATTTCACATGAGCTCCAGTGTGGAACACCACTGCACCCCCTGGTGGATCAATGATCCATTGCAGCTGGCTTCATTATAATTACATTTATTTATCACGGGGGAGGTCTCAAGTCAAGCTGGAGGTTTTCCCTTGAGCGAGGGCAGATCACGTACCAATCACGGCCCTCGCCTTTCAAACTGTCTGAAATGAAGCGTTACATCTGTACAAGGAAAATGCATGAGCTTAGATCAAAGAAAAATAATTTAGTATGAACTAATTTGAGATGTCATGGCTTGTGACAGAACATGATTTCTGCTGCATTGTAAAACATTGGCAAAGAAGGTTCGCATTTCCATAAATGTAGCTTGAGATTTCAATCTTATTTAGTCTTCTGAAATCAAGGTTGACTTGGCTTATTCTCTTTTAGGGTTTTTTCTTGATATCTTTGCTCATCTGAGCTAGCACTGTTTCAGTCGTGTTTGTGTTCATCGAATATACTTTTCTTTTCTTTGTTTGTATGTCACTTCCAATATAATGAGTAAATGCTGGGTTCTCTCTTGACACTGCACACCAAGATTTGGCATGGGAAACAGAATATTTGTATGATCTTTTTGTGAAGTCAGTAAAGGTCAGTAAGACTTTTTTCAAATGATTTATTTAGACAAATACATCCTGAAACAAAAATAAAAATAGTAAACTGTCAGGAAAAACAATAATGAAATGATACACATAGTTTTGATTACATTTTTTCCATTTTTAACATTGGGTCACAATTTAAACCTTCACTTATTTTATTTATTTAACATTGCAATATTTTCGGTGATTGTTAATGTAGCGACTTGAGGGAACAAACAGTCGCTGAGAGGGTGAGGTCGGGCCTGGTTCCAATTGTCTGAAATCAAAAATTAGTTTCAGGGCTCCTACAGTTTTCATCTGTTCATTTGTTTTTGTAGGAATGCAGTCCAGCAAACCCCTCTGTTCTCCAGAAGGACACATCAGAGTTGAAGACCCTTCCTGAGGAGATGTGATGGTTCTGGCTTTAATTAGTACAGCCTGTATTAGTAATGTTATCTATTCTTTACAGGCTATGCTAATCTATGCCAGAACCAGCAATGCAATGGGAGCGGAGGATTGTCATCATGACAGAGCGTTCACATCATCACTACAGAATCCTGTAGTAATGATGCGTGGTCTTCTGTTTGTGTCAGGGATTTTTTGTTTCATGTAGACATAAAATGAAAGAAATGAAGACAAATAATCCTTATTTATTCTATTTTCTCAAAGATGTCCATCAGCCATCATAAACCTGACCTCCAGCTCTGACTCTCCCCACTTCCTCACCATCATGAATGAGCCTGCCATTTTGGGTATTACACAACACTACAGCACTTAGCTTTTTAACACCTTATATATTCAAAGATTAATAATAAAATCATCTTGATAAAATATAATTAAAATGGACTTGGAAAGTTCCCTACGATTTAAGCCGAATATTGCTGAGAAAATGCACAGCTAAGTCATTTGATACCTTTGTTTTAGAATTGTATGAAACTTTTCAGGAACAGTAATTGTAGACTCCAAAACTCAGATCAAAAGTATAGTTAGCCTTTCAGAATTTTTGTATTAAAGGGAAATTATCTTTGATGTGCTGCGTTGAATTGTGGCTTGAAAAATATGTTTCTCCACATCTTCAGGTGGTTCTTATCAGGGGTTGGCCATACTGTCTGACAGTGTTGGTCGTTGGGAGCAGCATAATGTCAGTCATCTGTCAGGACCAGAAGGAAACTACACTGATTCACCAGGGAACCCAACATTAATGCTGCCAGCAGACGAGTTCGACCCGTTAGGAGGACATACTGTCTTGCAGGTAACAATCAACTGTGATTTTAATTGCTTCAGTGAACTTTTATTCTTGAATAACTCATCAACAAAAAAATAGTGCACATTCAAGTGTTGACATATAAATAAACAACAATAATCGATATCTTATATTGCTTACCATAGTTGTTTTGCCTACATTTAGGCATGGAAGTTTTGTGGGGTCATTGTGTAAATTCCATGGCTTTAGAAGCGGCTTATTCTAGACCAGAGAAACATTCAGCAATGCCCTTCACATGGATGCTTCAACACTCCAGGGGATGTATGGCTCATTTAAACCGCATGCTTATAGTTGTGGCTCCAAAGTAAACTTTGCATCTGTGGAAAGCTATTAGACTGAAATTATTATTGACCTGAGTCTTTCTGTGTTATCTAAGTACTTCCATTAGTCTGTTAGATTTCAGTCACCTATCCATTCATTTTCATTAAAACAAGCTAATGTTTAATAATAGAAAGATGAAAACCATAATTTGGGATGCATCTATGGCATATAAAACATTATTGTCTACACAGAAATGTTGCGTGGTGGCAGTCATTACTTTATTTTATTTGTATCGATGGTGAATGTAAGATGACCCAGAGTAGAACCTTGTGGTGCACCTCTACTAACATCTTGGCCAATTTCTTCATGACAGGTAGTCATTGAATGATTAGGTGAAAAGTAAAGCAGCAGAATGACATTATTGGGTATAGGCAATATTATTCAGTAGAAGCAAGCCGTGGTTGTGTCAGTGATTTTTCATATTTTGTATCATAACTGCTAAAGTTGTAATACTTTGCTTCAGAAATGTCCAGAGAAGAAACACTCAAGACTCTTTGAAATGTGTCAGCAAGCTTTGTCAGCATATAGTAGGTGAATTATTTCTGTCAGAGGTGAATTTTCTTTCCCAGCTAAGTCAGATTTTTCAGAAGATAATAATGATGTTACTTACATTTGATAAAGCTAACACTAAATGAGGATTATGTGTTGGGATTTTGAGTCCCTTTGAGTCATTAACAAATAAATAACTTAATGCACTAAACCGCCGTCTTTGGTTGTCCTCTCTCTTTACCTCTTCCTCTTCAGGTCGTTGTTATCGTCTTCCTCACTGGATCACTTTCCATTGTCACGGTTGTTGGCAACATCCTAGTGATGGTGTCATTCAAGATAAATAAGGCACTGAAGACAGTGAACAACTACTACCTGCTTAGCCTAGCATTTGCTGACCTGACTATCGGCACCCTGTCAATGAACCTGTACACCACCTACATCATCATGAACCAGTGGGCCCTGGGGCCGGTGGTCTGTGACTTGTGGCTCGCAATAGACTATGTGGCAAGTAACGCCTCAGTCATGAACCTGCTTGTTATCAGCTTTGACAGGTAAAAAAACAGAACTTATTTTTGTTGATAAACTGTAAAGCTTATAGACAAGATCATATACTGTTGGTACTACTCAAAGAGATATGTTGATATAAAAGATATAAATTCTCTCCTTGAGATGCTAAATCTGATAGAGGGTCAGTTGTAAGAAGGTATAACTAGGATTGATCATCAGTATCAGACTATTTTGTTATGAACGTGTATCCAATAGGAAAATGTGCATTTAATTTCCATTGTTTGGAATATTTTGACTCTTTATGGTACTATCAGCAGAGACAATGTGGTAAACAGTAATGCACGGTACAGTTACAGTTACTGTGTATGTGTACAGTTCTTCTTTCTTTCTTTTAGGTATTTCTCTGTTACCAGACCTCTGACATACCGGGCCAAGCGCACAACCAAGCGAGCCATGACCATGATAGGATTAGCCTGGTCCATCTCTTTCATTCTCTGGGCCCCAGCCATCCTGTTCTGGCAGTACATCGTGGGTGAGCGAACCGTTACGCCTAATCATTGCTACATCCAGTTCCTGTCTGAGCCAATTATCACATTCTGCACTGCTATTGCTGCTTTCTACTTGCCAGTAAGTATTATGACATTCCTGTTTTGGAAGATATATCAGGAGACAGAAAAACGTAATAAAGATATGCAAAGTCTCAGGGGAGCTGGAGTTGGCAAAAGCTCAAGCCAGGCTCAGAATCAAGGAAGTGGCAGTGGGAAAGTTGGTGGAGAAGGTGCGACTAACAGCCAGAAGGATTCATCAGCCATGCAATGCCAAATGAGCTCTCAAAGCTGCAGCAGCGATGAACTTAACCAGCTGGCTTCTGAGAAGAACAACAAGGAAAATACCAGCATGGCAGGAGGAACAGGAAGCAGAGGGAGGTGTGGCTCATCGTGCTGTTTCCAGTTTTCATCACTGTTGCCAGGTCGCCATGCATTCAAAAGGTCCGTCAACACCACGATAACTACTGTGGGTGAAGCAGAGCAGAGCAGCAGTGAAAGCCTCAACATTGAAGCCGGTGGTACTGGGGACCAGTCCGGTTCAGACGACAAGGCTGAAGGTGTGGATTTAAACTAATACATATACATACCGTTCAGTGGCGGCTGGTGGAAATTATTTTAGGTGGGGCTATTGTAATGGCGAATAAACCACACGGGGAACATTTTGAGAAATGACCCCTTAAATTATGACTTCTGGTGATGTTAGAGATATGAGAAAACTGATCAATACCTCCATAATCTTCAGTGTGGTTAGCTATGAATCTTCCAAAACTTCCGACTACCTTGTCCTGGACATAGTTTCTACAGTAAACTGTGCAATAGTACAGTAGGCCCACACAAACTGCATAACACCGGTTCTTTGGGAACACTCAAATGATTTAATTCCCATTTAAAATCAGGAGACTAAATACGAACATTATATGCAGACACAGACGTGGTTCAGAAACACAGAAATATTAGAAAACAGACCATTAAAGTAAAAAAATCTAGTTTGATGGATGCTGTCAAAACTCAACTATATGATGTATGTGTGTGTGTGTGTGTGTGTGTGTGTGTGTGTGTGTGTGTGTGTGTGTGTGTGTGTGTGTGTGTAGTAGTACGTAGTATATATATACGTAGTAGTAGTAGTAG